TCTTCTTTAGCGCTGCTATTGCGTTGCACCCTCTGTAGTCCCATAAAAAATAATATTCTGTGAGTGCATGACTTGCTGAGGGGAACCAGTTAACTAAATATACCTCCAGCATTGCCACAGGTCAGTTTGCAGGGCTTGCTGGCTTTCATCTAAGCAGTTAAGACCAGTTAGAATGAAAATCTGTCACTATAGTAAGTATCTTAGAGAAACACAGCACAACAAAAGCAAAAGGGTGAGTCCATGTACTTATACCTAAAATCTACACAAATATGTATGTTTTCATTGATATATTTAAAAGTATGTTCCTGTTGCTAAATCTGCGAAGATTTTCTTTGAACAAAAAACTTCTTTAGTAATCTGGAACATATCTTGTGACAAAATATATACTCTCAGACTTTTGTCCATGAATATCTGAGTTATTTTCTCCCCAGATTCTAACTATAGAGCACTTCTGTAATAACCACAGCGCTTCTTTACCTGGGATAGCGTTGTTGAGGGCATATGAGTCATTGGCCACTAATGCACTTGGAAACATGCTATGTGAATGGCCAAGCACTCTGTAGCCCATCAGCAAAATATTCTGTGCCCTACTATTTGGTCATAGTTTTGAGTATTGCTCTTCTAGCCAAATTGTAGCTGATTTTGTTATTTGGGATTTATTTTTTTTTAACCTCATCTATAATCTTTAATAATGCATTGCAATATATTTAACCCACTGCCTGCTCTAGCAATTATCTGAATATCAGAACAATTTGTTTGAAACCTTTTAGTTGAAAACCAGGAATGATTAATTCTGTTTCCCAGAGAAGAATCTCTAGCACCTTAATTTGCTTGCATCCGTAGTCAGTGAGCTGAAAGACATAAGGACTCACCGGAAAGCATAAATGATGTAGTGTCTGAAAATTGCGATGAAATCACAAGCCCATGCTGTCTCTAGACTCTCAGTGGTGAGCAACTGCCCCTCCCTACAGCTGCTTGCTCCAAGGAGGAGTTTTGCAGGGGCAGATGTAATAGCACCGAATGCAGAATAAGAGTTGTAGCTCACAGAAGGCACTTAGCCTTTGGGGGAAATTCGTAAGACTAGGCCTAAAACCAAACCAAACTCCACTCCTTCCTGAACCCATAGTTACCCCCCTCCGGCTGTGTGCATACATACAGATCTGCCAGCTAGGGACTGTGGGGTCTATTGAGAAATGCCTGTCCCATCTTTAAAGCCTCTTGTGGCACTTCAGCTCTGCGGACTTGGGTTTAAGAGCTCTGGGGGGTTTGGACGGTAGGGTTTTTTTGTTTTATAAACAGCACTTTCTAATCATGGTAGAAAAGAGCTTTTTCTTTTGCTTATTTTTTTTGTTTATCAGTTTAGAGCTGAAAGTAAATGCTGGCTGCTTTCCATGTGCTGTTCTGTAATTAAGGTTTCTTCACCATTTTTTCAGTGGAATATAATTTTTATTTGGACTGCAGCTTTATTTTAACAACTCCAACTCCAATAAAATTGTGTTCAGCACCTGCACTACAGTAAAATAACATGCATCCCGTTTAAAACTGTTCCCCTCCAAGGCACTGAGATCTCACATAAGTGGGATATTGTCTGATAAACTGTTTGTAACATCACGTACAGCTGAAAAAAACCGCATCCCAGCTGGCTAAGGCTGAGAGTAAAAGCAAGGGTTACTTCCCATCACTAACCTGCTGACCGCCCTCCTAAGCCTGGCTGGTGCAGTCATTTAGTGGCTGCGGCTGAGGGAACCTCATTAGTTCCATTTGTAGGTTTCATTTAAGGGTTTTCCCCTTGACAGCAAAGCTGTGGCACGATGGCGGTTATTAGTGAGCCCACAGGAGAATTGCGCCAGACATGGTTCAAGGTACAGTCTATGGGATTAGTTCTTTAATTAACCTTGGGTTATGGGGAATTGCTGTAAAAGGCTCCACAAGCCTTCAGAGCTAGGGTTTCTTTCCATAAAACCACCCCTTCCTAAAAACGAAGACAGACGTTTTCATTGAGGGGTTTTTCCCTCTCTTATTATTGGAGCAGGGGGTTAAAACAGGACCAAAGTTACCAAAACACTAACCCCTAGGAGGTTAAAGAGCTAAACTTTTTCAAACCCTTGCTAACAGCACCAGCCACTAAATTGAAACCAATTGCTGGTATTTTTTTTCAGTTACACCATCTTCCTGGCCAGGTCATTGAGAAGGTAGTGAGACTATGTTGGCTTTTATTAGGAAAAAATTATTGGTTTAGTCTTAGAGCTGGAAAGGTATATTCCTTTGTATAGACTAATAAACAGCGAGGTTGCAGTTAAAGCTAGACATGAAAACCTTCTGCTACAGTTACTAGAGGCTTTTCTTTAGGTAGGTAAGGGGCACGATGACCCACTGTCAGATTCAACAGGGTGTATTTTTCAAGCATCAGGTTTTGATATGGTTCTGGTAGACTTCCCTTTAAAAGGTACAAATCTAGAAAAGTTTCACGTGCATCCTTCTGAGACACGCAAACTGTCCAACGAATTGATTGTGTGTGTGGTCTTCAGATGAAAGCCTACTGAATGAGCACTCTAGTTTCAAATCTCTACAAAAGCTTTGCAAATGGGGTTTTCCTCTTGTCCCTGTACTGTGCAACATCATATGTACTGCTTACAGTCCAGGGATGCCTGTATTTCAGGAGCTCTTTTTGTCTGCATCAAAAAATCATAACCTCAGGCTCTCTACCATAAATCTTTTGGTGTTTTACATGCCTATGAAGTACGTAACTAGTATCTCTCCCTCCCATTGTCATCTTGAGCCTTTGCCAGCAGTTTGTAAGGTCTTTTGAAACTTTTCTGTAGAAGGGGCTACACACTTAGAAAGTGGTTTGAAGTGTGTGGGCTTTTTTACCCCAAAACATCTTTACCCACCATGACAGCGAAATTTAAAAGGCCATGTGGAAGCCCACTTTTGCCATTCAAAGCTGAATTTCCTTTCTCTGTGTTTTATTGCATTGTATTTTAAATGGCTGGCCAAGGGACTGGAGAGTGTCCTTTAGAAAGAAGTTGTGTCGATGAAGCCCATATTTTACTAACAGAGCCAAGAAGCCCTTCCTTCGCTAACACCCCAGACAAGCTCACATATGCTGGCTCTGGTGGTTGTACAGCTCCTCTGATGTTTTATCTGAACTCTTGCTCCGTTCGCTCCTGGTGATTGCAGCACCGCAGGGCTGTGTCAGTGCTAACATCTCCTTTGAGTTGTCCCTTAGGCTGCTCCTCAGCACAGCATCAGTGCTGCCAGCAACTAGAGAAGCCCTCTACCCCCTCCACTGGCATTTTGACATCCAGCCTTGCTCTGACCGTTTGGAGATTTATAGCTTGGATGTAACAAGATTGTATTTTTGACAGCTTAACATTATGCGATCTATTTTTCAAGTAGAAAGTGCTCTGACAAGGAAGAGTAACCTCATTCTTGCCATTTCAGAAGGGGATTTGGCAAGCACCACCCTTGCACACTAGGCAGCTTAGTGGTCTGGCTCTGCAAAGCTAATGCTCCTCATGGGAGCAGATTTTCACAAATATTGATAAAGTGGAATTATACTCAGCAAAGCAGGAGGTGGCAGGAGATGTAAGTATACATCTCCTAGGAAGGGCTAAAATGCAAGCTGGAGTGGGACTGCATGGTCACATATATATTTGTGTATCTGCAGGACAAGGGAGTTAACGTCTGCTTTTTAAATCTTTGCATGTTCGTTATGTCCAGTCCCTCCATAAATATGGGGGTGTTCTCCCATGTCTATAAAAAGACATGAGTCATAATTTTCAAGTATGGGATATTTCAAATGTATCAGTTTTTGGGTGTCCCACACAAGACAGCTGGCAGGGCTTAATTTTCACGTAGTGGGTGCTAAAAATGAAGCTTTTATGGGTACATTAAAGTTAGCCACTCAAAACGATGGTTACTTATAGCCAGTCTTCTGGCCATAAAGGTCTAATATGTAAAACTAAGTCAATTGTTTCTTGCTAGTATGTATTTTTGGAGCCAGTGACTAAATCGATACAAAAATGGTGTATTAGTGCCGACTTCATTTAATCAAGTAAAATTACTGAGCAAAGTCCCTGTCCTACTTTCCATACACCCCACACATTCTTTCTTCTGAAAGAAAAAAGTCCTTCCCCGTAGTGCCTCATTTGAGTAAGGTTTCTCCTACGCTATTGATAGCGCTCATGAAGATATGTGAGTGACCTTGTTTAATGCGTTTATTTTAACAGACAAATTTTGGTATTGTCGACTTTCGCCTAATCACAAGGTCTTGCACTACGGAGACTTGGAAGAAAGTCCCCAGGGAGAAGTCCCCCATGATTCCTTGCAAGATAAATGTAAGTCATGCACAAAGGTTGTGCTACTTTTGCTTCTTTTATGCTAATTCCTCTTTATAACTTGCAGTAGGTTTCTCTTAATATAGGACATGATCAACAGCTCTTTTTACAGAGATAAAGAGCACAGGACATTTCCTTCTGCATTCAAACACTGCTCTCCTGGTTTTGGCAAGTGTGCGTGAGGACCGAACTCATCTTTCCAATGAGTTTATAATTCCATTCAGCTTGGAAAGGTCATGCTTTTCATGGGGAGGAACACAGTTTATTTTCATTGCTCATCTAACTGCAGATGTCAAATAAAAACACTTGGGCATCTTCAGAAGCACTTCCTGTCCACAGAAGTGTTTGTCTGTGGCAAACAATCTAGTGATTGAAGGAGAACTCCGTGGCAGGCAGAGATCTTTTTCATTATTGTGGAGAGTGGACTTAAAGAGGACACATTGCTGTGAAGAGTATGGAGAGGACATCACAGTTACTGTGTGCCCAGCTGGGAGAAGACATGCCTTTGTGACATCTCCTGCCAGGCGATTTATCGGTTTTAGTAATTTGTGAGTCCTCAGAAAATCATACTCTTGTGAAAATTTCTTCTTAGTCCTTCAACATGAGTTGTAGACATTTAACCTGCAATCCTGGGAAAGTTTTTTGTGATGACTGAGATAATTACCAGTGTAGCGCTCTCACCAGAAAGTGACTCCAAGAAATCAAGCATTGAATAAGGAATCATTTCTTTTTGTTCTTTTCTGAACGTCCATTAGTAATAAATGCCATTCTTGGCATTATTAAATTAGACATGCTTGTACAAGTATTCCAGTTGGTAACTCCACTTCTTCCGTGGAATAGCAGAAAGACTCATTTTTCAGACACTGGAAATTTCTCTGTTGTTCTCCCCCAATCTATCTCCAGGCAGCACCTTTTTGAAATTTCTAAGTGCTCCCAGATAAGAGGAAGAGCCTGCCTGATGCTGGAGCCGTGGCAGTTCGCAGTCACGTTCCCTTGTTTTCATTGCCTTACAGATTGCCTCAAGGATGTTTCACTCTCTTACTGCAGTTTTGGCAGAATGTAGGACGGGGGTTCACATTGCTGCATTGGCACTGGAATAGGCTGTTTTTCTGGACGAGGCTTAGAGAAATAGCCCTTGAATGTTAAGAGTAGCGTCAGAATGACAGAAGAAGAATGAAGGTCACACTTGAGCTGCAGGCAGAGTTATGAGACCAGCAGTTCCCAGATTTGCTTGCTTTGAGCCCACTTCCATGATCAAACCCCTGACACTGGCCACAAGCTTCATCTTGCATTTGCATTTTCCACAGGCTCTTGAGCTTACTCGGGAATGTCATGGGAACAGAAGGCTCCTACTTCAGGAACCACTGGGCCAGACCTGCATGTTCCCTGTGCATGCCTGCTGGCAGAGCAGATACTGACGCAGTTTGCGAAAGATACGGTTATTTCATCAATATTTCAGGTTTTTGGGCAATGAAGGATACGAGTGCCACCCACATCAGAGTTTAATTAAACAGAGTTGAGAGTATTGCAAGATACAAGATTATAAAGCGATGCTATTGTTCAAAACGTGTCAGGCCAAAATGGCTTGGGAATTTTACAGAACATTTTCCAGAAATGTTCTGGTATTCTTTATATAGACTTGTATTGAATTTTGAACTATTAAGGTTTGAATATGACGACAAGATTGTCAGCATTTGGGAGCGGGTCAACAGATCAAAGAGAATAGGTGTGTAAGAAAATGGAGGACCAAGAGAAGTGACATAGGGCATTTCGTGTACTCCTTGCCAAGCTTGAATAAGTAGTGTCTATCTAAAAAAAAAAAAAAAAAAGTGGGTTTTTTTTAACCCTTTCATTTCTGTGAATGTCAGCACTCTCTTCAGGCTGGCAGAGGTAACAAGCTGTGCAGACTCCAGCTGGAACAGAAGACAGCTGCCCTTTTTCTCAGGGCTCTATCTGTTGTGAGCACATCACATCTGTGCTCACACCATCCAGCATCTTGTAGGCAGCTTCTGGTACCATCTGAAGTCTTTGATTCTGTTTTTCCAAAGCAAGGAATAGGCCAAGTTCCAGATAAATAAAGATCACATCAGTCTTAAATAAATGTCACATCAGTCTGTGATCTCCCATAGTAACTGCATTCCATATCACAGAGATTGAGTGTATGAAATTGTCTTGCTTCAGAGATCTAACTTGAGAAAACCCTACCTTATGCAATCAGAAAAACTGTTTTTTCTGAGCATCTTCAGCAAATGGCAGGAACTCTTTCTTCTAAAGACGACCTTTCTACCATAGTTGCAGTCGAGTATCAGCTTTACTTACCAGTTTGTCCTAGCTCACTCTCTCCTCCCAAAAATAACAAAATAACATGTTTTCTTGACCAAAAAGTAGGGTAGTGTCAGAGACATAAAATTTCAGCAGGGCCACAGCATGAAATGCTGAGACTAAAGGCAGGAGAGTTTGAGTACTGAAGAGCCAAATAACTTCCATTTCTTTTAGTTTTCCATGCAAAGAAAGTCCTTTAAAAATGTCTGCTATATCCTATGCTACGTATTTGACCATAGTGCTGAGGTAATCTGTAATAAAATACATAGTGTTGCTATACCCAGTAGAAGAGAAAATGCATTTCTCCTCTCCAGTATTTCCATTAGAGTTTGTAAAGTACTGGGCAGTAACAGACTTTCATGTTATTTTGCTGTTCAATATATATGATGCTTTTTCGCAGCCACAAGGATAATGGATTATTTATAGATTGTAGAAACTGTCACTCACTGACCATATTGTATTGTGGAGCATATAGATTCTCCATAATGTAATTACTGTTAGAAAATTGACTTCCACTTGAAACTAAGAGAAATTTATCTTTATGTTTCAGTGACCTCACTCTGAGTGAGTCTGAGTGGCAGGAGCTTCCAATACTTTTTTCTTACCTTTTTTTTTTTTTTAAATGGTTTCTGATTATTTCACGTTTTAAAGGAATTGGAATGGGTCATTATAAGCCTTAGTAGTCCTTATTCCTGTTAATATCAGAAAGTGACTAAACTGCTGATGGGGGTGAAATAGAAAACTGTTTGACAAGTTCATAAAGGCATTAACAGAAGAACATTATTGAATGACTTAGGGTCCAACTTGCCCAGCATCCTCTCTCCAGCAGAGACTTTACCTGCATGCCTAGGAAAGAGCAACAGGGCAGGCATATTACATTAATAAGGCAGAAAATAGTATGTGTTTTCTAGATACATGAGTACAGACAAAAACTGTCCAGACAGAGGTACGCATCTGTATGAAACACTCTTAATCCAAAGTAGTCTCAACAGGCAAGAAGAAACATACTCTGATTTTTATCCAGATGCCTGAAATTTTGTCAAGGTTCACTGATTCCTATCATCTTAGATGTTTTCTTCTGGTTTTCTTTCTTACAACATGCTAGAAATGGCAAAGGAGGTGGCAATTTTAACACAATAGTCTGGCCTCTTTTTAGACTGTAGTTTTTACACACCTTGGTAATAACTCACTTTCTGGTTTTTTGCTTTTGTTTCTTTTTAATGCAGTGCCAGTGGCAGATATAAAAGCTGTTGTGACTGGGAAAGACTGCCCTCACATGAAGGAGAAAGGAGCTCTTAAACAAAATAAGGTATGGGTCTCAAATTGTTATGGACACACACTCTGCAGAATACAAAGCCTGTCAATTTGACCTTCCCTGAAGTAATACAGGTGTTTTTCATTCCAGCCTGCCACCTTTCTGTGTATGCACACGCACTTTGTTTTCACTGCAGACCGTTTGAGTTAAATTATTAGGACAGTCAACGCTCCTTTACTCAGATTTCATGGCAGATGTGCATTGTGATATGCCCAGAGCACATGAGGATAGTCTTTAGTAGTGGTGTCTTCTACCTCTCAAGCAAAGCAGCAATGACTGTTGGTACCTGCTCCTATATGGTCTCTGATAAATAACTGGTTTGTTCTAGCTGTATTCTCTGATGAACTCACATTCAGTGAAGACTGGCACATGCCAAATTTGCAATTAATGTCCAGCTGATGATAACTTCAGGTCCAGTCAGGTAGAAAAACAACTGCCAACAAAAAAGATGTAAGGTAGACGTTAGGCAATTAATGAGGTGTATAAGGACGTGTTCGATAGTCTGTTTGGGAAAAAATATGTAGCAGACAATGGTCAGCTTAAATTAGATTTCTGGTACCTTTCAGAGTTTCAGATCAAGAGCTATGAACTGACAGTAGGACTCAAATTGTACAGTGCCAGAATTTTGCAGAGTTTTTGTTAGTAAGAATTGCCGCTACAGCAAGAAGAAATTCAGTTACTAGCGAAGTCTGACATCTTCTGCAGTGATGGACTTCATACCATATTGTATGAGGTACATTAATAAGTTTTCCATCAGGTCATGCTGTCTGATTTTACGAGAAGGAGTGAGACTTTAATGATGTTCTAGAACCACACTCTGAGGTCCAGGAACCAGATCAGAGGATTTGAATTGAAATTTCTAGTTACCTGAAACTGAGAAATTTTGAGTTCAACTAGAAGGATATTTTGATGTACAAAATAGTAAAGTTAAGAGTTCCTGCTTCAGCACAAGTTCCTGCGTGCATTTAGTGTTCAAATAAATATTGGAAAAAACAGTTCTGATAGGAACCACAGAAAATGAAAAAGCACTGTCAAAAATACATCACATAACTGTTGCAGCTTCGTAGCTGCAACTTTTCTTTCCTTAACTATACACAGATGTGCAGAGCATCTTGAGTATTCTTTGCATGTGTTTCTCATACATGAGCTGCTTTAAGTCTATCAGGATACCGTCATCTCCTTTCAGCATTGGCTCTACGTGGTTGGAAATTAAAAAGTCAAGCCAAGCCAGGAAAAAAATCCCAGGAGTATTTTTCCTTGTCGATTTTCTGAATCAGGGCACTAACATGCACACAATAGATTGCATACAACTCCTACCTCATGTTACAGCTGAACCATCAACAGCATTTGGCTGGGGCATTTATATGATGCATGTAAAGTATTTTTAGTGCTTCCTTGTCTTAGCATTCATATGTCCACACAAAAAGGAAAAATGAGAAGAAGGAAAGCAGTGGGTGGCAGTGATGGAAATGTGTCATCTTTATGGAGCAGTAATTTCTAGATAGTATTTAATGCTAAATAACAATGCTGCAAATGCTGCAGATAAGTTTGTCCTCAGCTGTCAGCATTGCCCCATTTCCTCAGGTAAAATTGCTTTGGACTGGCATAAAGCTGCTGGCTGAGAATGTGAAGATCAGGAGTTGATAGGTAGCGTGGCTGCATCCATACCTGGAGCATTCCATTTGTGATCCTGGCAATAATAATTGTGATGGTTTTACTATTTCTGGTAAGATACGGGATTTGGGGGTTTGATTTTTTTTTTTTCATTCCTCAATTCCTTGGTTTTTTCCCCTGAGAATCACAGAATTTGTGAAATTAGTTGTCATCCTAATCAAAATGTCATGCACAATATTGCAACTACTTAATTGACCTCATCAGAATAACACGCCATTGTTTGTGGAGTACCAGGTTAATGATGTGGTCAACAAAATGAAAATTTAAAAAAAAAAAAAGCCAGACAGAGTGCAGTTTGGCTGAATTTGGTGTATGAAACCTTTCACTTCCTGAAATTTCACGATCGGTGATATATTTTTTAAGAGGCCTTTTCATCCTGTGCTTTCTTTGTACATATGTAACGACAACCTTAATGTTTATTCATTGGCAGAAAAAGAAAGTGAATGGCAGAATGCCACTGCCATGAACATAGCTGGAATTGGCAGAATGTCCATAACAAAGACTTCAGCGTCTCTTCATTTTGCCAGCACATGGCCATTATTCTTCCAGCAGGACCATTTAGAAATAAATAAGAGTTAAACTGAATTGGAATTTGCATGCATATGAAGCTGGAATGACTTGATAGGACCAGACCTGTATCCATTGTTGTTCATCTTGCTTGTGTTTTTATATTAGGTTTAATTTTAAAGCCCTTATTTCTGACTCTCAAGTAATATTAATGAATTTCAAGATAATTAAATATATTCGATTTAGCAGTCTTCAAAACAAAACATGAGAGAAGAATTTAGAGAAAACATTGCCATGTATTTCTAAGTGTTCTTCTATCAGCCTTTATTTGCTGATGTGGTAGGCTGCAGGTTTGGTGCCTTTTTAGTCAGCAGAAATGATTCTGCTCGTTTCCCTCTTCTTCTGCAGCTTCTCTTCTATTTCATGTTGGTTGAACAAGTTCCCTCCTGCCGCATGTATAGACAGCTGTCTGGGGAGGGCCTTCTGGCTCTGGCAAGCAAACTTAACATGGCTGTGGTCTCAACCTTCAGCAAAGACATTTGGAGGCTGTTGATGATAGAGTAAACAGAGAGTAGCGAGGTCATTCCAGCTGCATGGGATTACTCAGTCATAGGCACCTAAAATGCCTCTTCATCAAAAATAGCTTGTCTCTGGCCCGCATCAGGGGCCAGCAGAGATTGCGGGAGAGAGAAGCTCTGGGCCTGGGAGAACAAGCTTCCCCTCGTACCACCTGCAACAGCTTCCCTGCAGAGTTGAAACCAAGGAGCGGGAAGTGTCCAGGCAGCAGGTGCAGAGTCTCTTGTTCCCTCTTTTCAGTGAAGCTCAAAAGAGAGGCACATCGTGGGTCCCAATACTGTTACCTTTGCCAAGCACCTAGGGAAGGGCAGAGGTCTGAAATGTGCAAGGGTGGAAAGAGTTAGGAGTGTCAAGGGAGTGACTTCAGCAAATTGAGGTGGGGGAGAAGGGAAGCAAAACAAAGAGGGAAGGAATGGGGGAGAAAAAAGACAGGAGTGCAAGAGAACTGGTGGAAAAAGCTGGAGTGGAAAATTACTTTGAGAAGGATTGAGAAGTAGGACAGAAAAGGGAGGAAAAAGCCACAGATGGCTGATGGAGACTGACCAGTTTCCTTTTAGAAATTTCCAGTTCCTCGAAATCACCTGTCATTGACGGGACTGTAACAAAACCAGGTGGGGGTTCCTGACAAGTCAGCCAGCTCAGCCACTGGGACCACCATCAGTGTGGAGGGCCAGTTGGCAACTCCACCTCCTTATGCTTTCATTTTCCTTGACAGTTTGCTGTGCATGAGGTGACAGAGATGCCAGCACCTGGAAGCCGTAATTCCTGGGCCTTTAGTCTCCAGAGCAGCCAGCAAAGAAGCTGAACTGGAGCCAAGGCTGCCAAACTCCCACTTTCCCCCATAAAGGGAAGCTTGGTGCCCTAAATGTAGCCCTTTCTCATTCTCTGCCTGACTGGGAATGACCAAACCCATGGCTCCCTGGGATATTCCTCTTTCAGGCAGGGTTTTTCTCTCCTTTTCCTTTCTTTGAGGTGAACAAAAACTTCAGTCCGTTGGAATTTCCCAAAGGACAAATATACAGGGACGAGGCCTATGGGATTGTTCTTGACCTTCATGAAATTCAGGAACATCATATTAGATCTGTGCAAGCCCTTTTTTTCAGTGACACATTTTATTTCCATAACCTCAGCTGCATGACTTGGCATGTGCTGTCAGTAATTTATAACACTCTGTGAGGACATAATGCCAGGTTTGTGTGGGCAGAGGTAAATTTGTTGCTGTAATGAGGGACATCACTCTTAATAAGGTGTGGCTGAGAAACATGCCTAAAACACAGAAGGGCTATGTGAGCCATGAGACCTTTGTTTGCTGAATGCAACCAGCGCTATTAGTATCTGCAGCTTCTGTGGGGATTTAACACGGACTTGTCTCCTGTGGCCTGGCAATACAGCAAGTTGAACCTAATAACTAAACTCAAGGAAACCAAGAGCGTTTCCCATGAGAAGCCTGATCTCTGATCATCCAAGATTATCCCTTAGGATTGCACGTTTTATGAATCAGACTCTGCTCTTAATCACACAAGTTCAAAAATGAAATAACCCTTACTGAAATCCAAAGACCTACGTCTCTTTCAGACCAGGAGATCAGGGGTGGAAATCTAGAGCAATGCATATGCTGCAATCCCAGCAGTCAATTCTGCCATTTTAAAACAGCGTAGCAAATTTAAGCAGCCATGCTCTTGTGGCTGCTGGCAGCGTAGGGACTGTCGTCAGCTGAGAGTTAGCAAAGGCAATCAGTTTTATGGGGCTCAGGAAGCCAAGAGGCAAAAAGAACAGGACGTATGATACAGATCAAAGTAGTTCTGAGTCAGAACTCTCCTCTGTAGCCGGGTCCTTTTTCCACAGAGTTATTATATCCATATCAGGTAGCTTACAGTCTGTGAAATCCTTCTAATGATGCTTGTAGTCATGTGTGCAGTAACCATGATATCACAATATCTTTACATGCTCACTGCTGGCCAGTGGAAGTTCATTATTTATTCAAATTGAATGGCTTTTCCCATAGGAACCCAGGTCCAGGTGACTTTCAGGGAAGGTCAGTGCTTAATGAATTCACTTTGGCACCTTTGAAATTCCAGCTTCGATGCTGAGGGGGAAAAAGATTATAGGTTTTTTTCTTTCACAAGCAAGATTCATTTGGTTCTTCATGACTAAGTAACCCAGATAGTTCAGTTTGACTGAGACTGCTGATTCTGGTTCAGGTAGAGACAAAATGACAGAAATCGCTTGAGAATGAATAATTTAATAGATTTCCAGCAGTGAAAAGACCATAAGCATATACCAGGAGATTAACTGTCCTGGCAAGATTTTTGACACAGAGAATCAAACCTTGCAGAACTTTGCAAGTTTAATCTGTACAAACTAAAGAAACTCTGGATCTTCATGAATATTTTGTTGCAAGTGTAATATTATGGGTTATATTGATTTTAGTCCTCACCGTTGCCTAGCTCAAATGCTAAAGTTATCCATGACCCAGTGAGCTGCAGTCAGCGCTGAGGGGGGTGAGTTTGTTTTGACTGAAGCATCTGTGTTGGGGTTCTTGCTGTGCCAGTTTGCGCAATGGTCTGGTACTGCTGCAGCTTCAGCCGGGCAGGAGAGTGTCATAACCTGGACAATGCTCTCAGTCATATGCTCTGATTCGGCTGGTCCTGTGTGGAGCCAGGAGTTGGACTTGATGATCCTCATGGGTCCCTTCCAACTCAGGATATCCTATGATCCTATGACCCTATTTTTTCACTTGTTTTGGGGAATGAGAGGTAAGAAACAGAGACAGACCTGAATGTATTAATGCCTCTCTCATGCAGCATTAAGATATGTTTCTTTGTATTCCAGGAGGTGCTAGAGCTTGCTTTCTCTATATTGTATGACTCGAGTGGCCAGTTGAATTTCATTGCTCCAGACAAGCATGAGGTAAGTCGAGTTCAGAGTACAGAAACTTCTTTGGAGCCCTCTTAGTTGCTTTATGGCAGCAGCCAGCTTTCTAAGAGAATGGTCATCCTGGCACAGAGTGCAGGTCCATCTAAAGCTGTGTCATGTCTCACAACAAAGCGAAAGCAGAGGGATTAGTATGGGTGCAAGACCTTCTGCAATTTTCATGCATATCCTGAGCCACAGAAGGAACATGTTTTCTATTTGTACATCATAGAGCATGTGTGGGCCCAAGTTCAAGATCAGTGTTTCTAAGCCCTACTGAAATATGAACCATCAGTAAGAAAAAGAAAAGATCTTGGGCAGACCTCACAGTTTCCACAGACCTTGCTCCCCTTTTCCTGGTGTAGTATAGATTTCTCCTGGTCTGGTCTACCATGGATGATTTTTGCTGTGTGTCCACTTTAGTAAACTTCAGTTCACCTTAATAAACAAAGATTTGTACAGCCAGGCTCTTAAAGAATCACTGCCATCCTCAGGTCATCTTGATGATGCCAACATAATGAGGGGAGGTCATACCATTGTTCAGGTCTCAATTTCAGCCAAAGACTTGTGTTCTCAAGAGTAGCATATGCACTTATTCATAGTGTCACATTGCTTAAGCCCATTCATGACAGGTGATCATAGAAGGTCCTCCCTATGGCATCTCCATAGGGGGTTTTGCAAGGGGTCTCACTTGTATGAAGACGGTGTAAACACCAATAGTAAAAAAGAGTGACACCCTCCTCCCTGCTTCCTTGTCTTACTTGAAAACACAAGGACATAGCCAATGTCATTGCCTTTTGGAAGGTGATGGAACTAATTTGCCTAATTACATGGAAGCATTGGATGGCTTTCTCTCAGAGAACTTCCAAGTAAAGATTTAGCAGAATGCACTATATTAAAGAATAAAGAAGGAATAAAGTTTTTCCTTCTTATTTCTAAAGCAACAAGAGTTGGTGTTCCATTTGCACACTTATTTTGTGGTATCACATTGGTCTCAGTTCAGGACACTGTGTTAAGATGATGAAAGACAGAAAATTGCATTAATCTGCGTTATACTGTAGTGTTATAAAAGTGCATGAAATTGCATTACAAGTGAAGTGTATTTAGTTACAGCTTCAACATTTGCAATTCTGGATTAAAACCTTCAAATAAATGTTCATTTTAGGAGAGGAAATTAAGTTATGCTCATTTGGGTTTTCCTGGGGATTAATATTTGAGTATCATTTTCAAGTACGTTCATTCCAGAGAAATACTTGCCGGTCAGTTTTGATCTAAGAGAAAGCAGCAATAGGATCCCAGGCACAATGTGCCATTAGAGCTGTAGGTCTAAGCAAAGCATGATTGTCTTCATCCTCTGAACTGAACATGTGTTAGATGCTTTCTGATATAAATTCTCCAGAAGCTGAATTCTAGTCTGTTTCAGCTCATAAGAGCAAATGGTCATGAAAATCGAGAATTTTTTCAGCCACTTGCATCTCAAATACAGCCTATGGCTGCAAGTGTATTTTAATGGTCTAAATGTTCAAAAACTGCTACTGTACCCCACTGACGGGCAGTGGCACTGTGAGATGCACTAACCCAATTGCTCATGAATGGTGTTAACACACCTATTATCTTTATTTCTCTTCATGATCTTGTGCAGCTTCTTTGAAACAAAATTAATATGTTCAAAAAAAATGGCCAGAGGCAGCAGTCTCTGCTGCTACTTGGCAGTTTCCAAGTGAATCTTTTCAAAAGGGCATCTCTCTCCCTCCGTACTGTTTCATGGCCTACAGAAGAATGAGTCGTAATTAAAGCAAAAAGTGGAAATTTTCAGAGGAAGCACCCACAAGGAAAAGTAAGTAGCTTGTTAGGAAGCCCATGACTCTGCATCAAAGTAACTGGGGTGCTTGTCAATAGAAGTGCTTGTTTAGCAGCGTTGTCAGCTTGGGAGATTTGGTGGGTGACTTCTCAAGATGTAGGAAGCTTTGCGTGAAGCACCAGGAATGATGTTAGCACATGACAATTTCAGGTCAGATTTACAGGGTTTTTTTCAAGCACTTCTACAGTCCTCAAGATTGTAGAGCGAGATCTGGATGTGGGAATTGGGTGTGTCCTAAAAACAAAAATCGAGCGAGGGATTCAGGTTGTAAGGGACCTTGGGGGAGTCCCCAGTCTGACCTCCTCCTCAAAGCAGGTCAGCGATGAGCTCAGACCAAGCTGCTCAGGGCAGCAGCCAGATGGATGAAGCCTGCTCAATCTTTCTGGTTGTCTGGTTCCACTGACTTGACTTCCAAGGTATTTATTTAATAAAATCTCATTACCGAACCAATATCATTGAGATTTGGACCTCATTCTTACACACTTAAGTTTGGCAATACCCTTAGCCATCTGTTGGAGCTTACTGCTAGCCAGAGGATTCAGCACTGTGAGATCACTCCATCGTATTTGTTTTTCATTTAAATACTAATAGCTGGTTTCAACTACATAGCAAAAAGGTGGATTAATCTTATCCTTGATTTTTGACAGAGAAACTGATGAGGGAGGCTATAATTAGGTTTCGCTGGAGTTTTATGAAAATGAATCTGTAGTAAATTAATTTTTCAGTGGCTCTTAGTCTGTTTTGCATATTAAAAAGAAAAAAGCTTCTGAATGAATGCCTCTGTTTTTTCCACCATCTCATTAGGATTTCTCTCTGCTCAAAATGTACAGGAGTTTAATCAGATGCACTTGCCAATATGGAGATTAGAGAGGAAGCCCCTTCTCCAGGCCATTGCACTCATCTGAATTATGGCCAGAATTTGGTTTCTGTGGGCCCTGAATGAGTTATATGTGGAAGAGGAGAGAAATGCAGTTCAGCTTTCTGGCTCGCTGGGATTCCTCCCTAGAGAAAGCGCTGACCGTACTCACTGAGCAGGTGATGGACGATTTACGTCAGGGGCTGCATCTGTTGAATGGATGCTCTGCGCTTCTGTAACCTGAGCAGAGCCTTTTGCCTTTCTGTTCCTTTCCTCAAAGTGAATTCTGGGAAAACTTTCCGAAAGAAAGCTTTCAAGTAGATCATAAAAAATTATAGTCTGTTCAAAAATAATTACATTTCTAGGATAGCTTCTTTCCTTTCCTGATGTTCTGCATACACTCCACAAAAATTGTGTGCTTTAAAAGTTGTTGGTGACACGCTTTGAGAGCCTAGAATAGGCAGGCTAAGTTGTTTCTTTAGTACTCGTTAGCAGGACAGCCTGAACCCTAAAGTCACTTCTGTGTAGCTAATCTCATATTAAAGCTGTGGCTTGGCTTACCAACACCCTGGGTGAAGTCCTAGCTCTGCTACTGTTTTGTTACTGACTTAAATGGGTTGGATTTCACTTTGGATGCTGAAGTGTGTTAACCATCCTATTTTAAAAATATGCCCTTTTTCTGGATGAAGACATACCCCAAGAGGGGGTTTTCTCTCTCTTCCTTAAAAATAATCCTAATTTCTGCTGTAGGATGAAGTCAACCATGGCTATCTTTAAACTTGGCAGTATCATATAGCAAATGGTCAGCTAAATTTAAAATCCGTTTTTTGGCATGAAATCTAGCAGAAGTATTTGTAAGATAAAAATGCAGTTACGGTTGATTTAATTTTCTCCTGCAAACTAGGACACAAGTTCATGATTGAAATCTTTATTTTTAGATGATAGCATTTGAGTACTTCTGTTCATAGTTGAATAAATGGCTTGTAGCAATAAATGGAAGTAACTTATTTGATAGAAGTTGACTCTAGATCACCAATCTCCCTTGGGTTTGTTCCTTATTTAAAATGGTTATTCAGCCCATGTTTATCTCAAGCTGTCAGCTGTTGAGAAAGATAGCATCTCCTATTAGGAAAAAGCTAACAATAAGGAACGGGGTTTAGACGCCAGTTCAGCATTTGTGGTATTTAGAATTACACCAGGTAGCTTGGCATTTAATTTTCATGAAAGACACAGCATTGATTGACTCTGTAGTTTTCACAATATGTTATTTCATGTAAAATAGTGGTAAAGTAGGCATAGATAGGTAAGTAGGAGCCTATCTTTGCGTAGGTCAATTGATACCACGTAATCTATAGGAAAGCAAACCACGATAAAACTAGATAGTTGATGCAGGATTTCTTACACGAAGAGTCAAAAAGGATTTTGGGTGGGATTCAGTTTGCCTAACATAGATATCTTGGAATTAAAAGTTGGGTGTGAGATAATCAAGCTCTTTCTGTAAGTATTGGGGAAAGAGAAAGGGTGAGGAGGAGATATCCCCGGAGGTTCATTGTCCTAAGTTGGGTATTGTTCTTCCCCCCATAACTATTGAAGAATATTCAACAAGAAGTTTGGAGGAGATACCTAACTATCAAATAACTACATGTTGCACTTTCTTCCCATTTTTAGGGAACTGTTTGCTCATTTTCTGAGCTGTTGAGTGGAACATGCCTTCTTCACGATACAAGCTAATAAAATGAATCAACCTCGTTTTAGGTCTCTTTATAAGTCCCTGTGGGAACAGTAACTGTAGAGGACCAGGACAGACAAGCAGTTTGTATATGGAAGGTCTGTTAATAATAGTTTTTATCTTTTCCCTGTGCAGTATTGTGTATGGACCGATGGGCTGAATGCCCTCCTTGGGAAGGACATGTTGAGTGATCTAACACGGAACGACTTAGACACACTGCTCAGCATGGAGATAAAGCTACGCCTCCTTGACTTGGAAAACATACAGATCCCAGATGCTCCCCCACCTATCCCAAAGGAGCCCAGCAACTATGACTTTGTTTATGACTGTAACTGAGGCTGCCACTGAAACTTGCTTCGAAACTGGAAATATTATAACTGGAGAGATATTAAAAAAAAAAAAAGAAGAGTGTGAGGAAAAAAAGACACCTACTTGTGCACCTTGGATTTTGGCTTTGGGGAGGGGTGTAGAAACACTTGCATTCCTTCCCATTCCCTGCATCCCTTCCTTCCCCATTCCCATCTTCCGCATTGCTCATCCAAATCCACATTGCTTTAATTAACTTGTAATTGCAGGCCATTGGCCTTGCTTAAGGCAAAGACTGCCACTAAGCAGCACCCTCCCGAGGACTTTTTTTACATTTTTAATACCGGAATAGACATTCTTAACTAAAGGACGATGTTATCAAACTGCATGCCTGTGAAACCCACTTGGCAGGGCAGAGGCTTTAACTGGAAGGAGGAGGGAGGTAGGGAGCAGAAGCAGCTACTGTAGGCAGAAGATTTCCCCAGACACTCCCAAGAGTCTGCTCACAACTGAATCCAGTGCAATGATGAAAATCGTTAACTGCTTCCCAGTGCTTGCACCATTCATCACTGTCATTATTCTTTCCACTGCATCTCAACTCTTGCCACCAGCCTTCACCCAACTGATCGGCTCCCAGAATGGAAAGTCTGCAGGTTTTTGCTGTACCATACGCTGCAATGCTGCAACAGCTTTTAACTTCTTTTCCTCCCAGCTCTTAAATAGCCCTACACTAGCAGATCACTCACACAAACTGCATATGAAGCCACTAGTGTGTCCCATCCCTATGGTGTTCCCTAAACCTCAGTTGCCTCTAAAATTGGCTTGTTGCTACTCAAAGTGATTTTTATTTTCTTGGTCCAAAGTTCAACAGTAATTTCCACAAATTAATTACAACTGCCAAACATCCAGGTTTACATTGTTGTCATCGCTACAGTGTTAAGAATTTGCAAGGGATTTTTTTTGTACGGGTTCTAATTTTTTTATTTTATTTTGCCAAACAAATATATTTAATGAAAACTAATTTCATTCTGAGTACTTTTGGGGGGACAATATTTTTACTTAATTTCCATTTGGAACATTTGCCCTGAAGGGAAAAAGTAATATATCCCTTCAACTTCACTGTTGAATAAAAATCTGAGTTGTGATGATTTTTGGAACTCTGTTTTTCTTCTGAAGTTGTCATTTATTCTTTATGCTTCCTAGCAATTCTGAAGTGTTTGGTGCAAAGAGAAGAGGGAAGGGTGGAACAACCTTTCTTATCTGCATCTGATTTAATTTACTTGTAATTTGTGGTGACAAGGATGAGATGCATCCAGAGGTCTCCATTGCCATGGGTACACGAGCCTTCCTGTGAGAAGGATCCTTTGTGAAATCCAAAATCACAGCACACTGATGTGCTCATGGTCAATGTAAGGCTGCTGCCTTTACCGTGTTTGCTGGAGTAACTGTCTTCCTGTAGCTCCATTTCCTCCATTGAGAGTGTTTCTGGCTGCAGCAGATTGGTACTGGGGAAGTTTGGGCTTTGCAGGATGGATTCCCTCCCTCCTCATGTTCTTGTACAGATTTCACAAAGTTTAATATCTCTTACTCCAAAAGTGCTGGGTCTAGATCTAGAGGGACCTGCCAGCCCTTTCCCTCCCACCGCAGAGGCTGAAGACAGATGTTTATTTATGTGAGTTCCTCTCCTGCTCAGACCCAGCTGAAAAAGACTGTGAAGGGGTTTTATCAGAGCTTATGAGAGGTGGTTCCCAGTTTAGACAGATGCAGAAGACCTCAACTGAGGTGACCTTTGCTCCATCCAGCTGGCTCTGGGGCAAGCATCCTGACTGACCTCACACCAGGTGAGGGGAGAAATGACGTCCTGCAGGTGCGATGAAAAGAGCATGAGGAGAAGGTTGTATGAGTTCAAGCATGAAGGTCCTATGGAAGGTGCCTTCCTGAAGCTGTGTTTGCAGTATTTTATGAATGGCTTGATCTTACAGGAGATGTAAGTTAGTTTAGGTGGTAATGGATGGTAAAGTAAGGAAAAAAGAGACTGCGAGTTAAACGCTGGAGTAGGGAGTTGCAGTGGACTGTGGCCCAAGAGAAAATTCAGTCTGAATGAGAACAGGGGTGTACAATGTGAGATGTGGGAGTTTGAGAGGTTTTATTCTCCGGAGCCTTGTCAGACTATAGCAAAGGTAGTCAGGGGTCAGGAATGAGTGGAAGCAAAGGTGCTGCCTGCCACAGGGGATTTTGGAGGGGTCCTGGGGGTGGGGGATGGAGGTAGGAACACGTTTCTTTACAAGATGCTGATGCTGCCTCTTGTCTGCGTGAAGACAAGACTCGGAGCAGAACAGAGAATCTGAGCTGTTTTATTAATCTCCCTGACCCAGCTGGATGGCTTGGCTGTGCATAACCTTTGCTTTTTATTTACAGACTGCAGAGCTGGTGCTTCAGATGGGTATTGCTTGTTGTCTGAAAGAAACACCTTTCAGTCCTAAGCGATAAGAGCCAAACGCTGCCGGCTCGGTGGCAATCCAGTGCCGTGATCTTAGCAGGTAGGTGTCTGTCTGCGTGACAGTCAGAAAGGAGCAAACAAAAACCCTCCTCCTCCGGGGGACAGCTTAAGCAGGAGGGAAAGGTTAGGCTTGCCTCCTCCACTAAGGTGAGTGCCCCAAGTTGCACACCAAGAACCCTGGGGGAAGTGGTGGGAGAAGAGCTGGCATGCCAGCCCTGTTTTTACCAACACCTATCACCCATCCACGTGACACCGAGGCACATTTACGCCGCGCGGGCAGCATGATGTACTGGTGGCTGGCTCTCTCCTTGCACCCCTCGGCCCTCGTGCAAGCCGGCGACGCAGCCCAGCGGCACCTCTCATGCCCTGGGACTCCGCAGGGCGGACGCAGCCTGACCGGGGGGGAGTCCAGGTCCGGGGCCAGACAGGTGCCGTGGCACTGCCATGTGGCTCTAGCTCACAGCCTCCTGCAGCCTCCTGCATTACAGGAGCCCCATCTCCTCACGTGGGCCAGCTCTTTGTATGGGTTATGCATTGTGTGGGATGGTCATGTGAGCAGGCATGCTAAATTTGTCTTCCCCCCCCCCCCCCGTCCCACCGTGCCATAAGAAAGAAGAGGCTCCAGAGATGCGTTGGCGTAATAGCCCATGCTGCTATTTTAAAAGCGCTCCCACAGCAATACGAAGGGCCGTGGTGCAAACAAGAATCCTGCCTTCAGTTTCTAGAGCTGTCATACAGGCTCACTTCACCATTATGAAATTAAAAAAAAAAAAAAAATTTAATGATGAACAAGTATCCTGCTGCTTCCCATTCATTTAAAAAAAAAAAGAGAATGAAAATGGCAAATTCATTTGCTCATGCTGTTGTGTGTTCCGGAAAAGCTTTTAAGGCTTCACATTCAAGGAGCTGCAGCAGGAAAAAAAATTGCTATTGAAGTTTCTTTTATAATTTCAAAACATTAAGTGGGTAATTGCTTGTAAAAGCCATAAAGGGGAGAGAGAACAAAAAAAAATAATCAGTCTAATTTTAGCTCCTGTTTTTGAAATGACTTTGCTTTTGCAAGTGAATATATTCTTTTACCAGAAAACTTGAATCAAGAAAAACATCTATCTTCTTAAGTCAACTGCTTGCCCTGCTTGTAAAGACAAGAAGAGCAGCAGTGCTAAGAAATCCTGCACAAAAGCAAGCTATGCGTCAGAGAAAGAGCTTGTGCTCTCTGGGCTTTCATTACCACTTTTCAGAAGCAATTCCTTTTTCAGTATGGAGAACTCTTTTATTAAACCTTACAACTTGCAGGGGAAAATAACATTCTTTTGCAAAGAGGCGGGTAGATGATGACTCTCTTTTGGGTTGCAAAATGACCATGCAGGACCCTGATTGCTTTATTTGTGAAATCCTCTCGTGTCTTCATGCCCTGCCCAGGATTGCATTTTGCTTGTCCAGGGTGCGTGTTACCGTTTCTCTCCCCTCCTGGCAGGGGAAGACCGAGGGCAAGGGGCATGGGCCTGAAACGCCCCTGAACGCCAGTCTGCTTTTTGGTTGTCATTGCATTGGACTGCAGTGATCAGAGGTGGCTCTGATGCATCCAGCGCTGCGGTGGTGCAAGCTGTTAATCCTGAGCAATAACCAGCGATGGAAGATGTTGGGAGTAGGAGGACGCACTCGTACTGCCATATTTCCCCTTTCTCTTGTTGCTGCTGCTGCACTGACAAGTAAATGCCATATGCGTCACTGTCATGTGAAAGTTGTTCTATCTAAGGAACATAATAAGATGAATGTAAGATTTTAATCCTTCTTGTTTCATTCTTCTTGAGGTTTAAAAACAAATAAAAATAATCTAGCCCTTAAATCTAGTCCTTACTGACCTCGGGATATCTTAGCTGTCAGAAGCAAGCCTGAAATACCAAGCATCTGATATAAGAAAAGAGCCCTTCCCCTTACAGCAGCATCAAGGAGCTGGAAGTGAAACGGCTTTCCCTTCAGACAGTCCCACAACCTCTGCGTGCTGCTGAGGGTAAAATCCCTGCAAACTCTGAAGATGTTCATAGGACAGAGTTTTTGTCACCCCTGGCTGAGCTGTCATCGCTTTCCCCAGCGCTTGCTAAATCAGGACAAGACTCACTCAGTGCTCCCTCCCTCACCAGATGATAATTATATTTGAATATTAAACATCCACATTGCTTACCCAAGTTCCCTGATTAACAAAGCACTTACTGATGCAGCAAAAGAGACTTGATTTCAGTTTGATAAACAGGCACGTAAATTTAAGTGGGTGCTTGTGGACCTTACTGGATCAGCACCTGTGTGAGCTGAAAGGCAATTTTACCTGTTACTGAGTTTTCACTACGTGTTTGGAGGTGATGCAAGTAATGACTTTTCTGTCTGAGGTGTAATTGGATTGGGTACCACTGGTACCTCAGGAGGGTGAACAAGATGTCGCCTGGTTATTCAACATCACTCCAGCTGCTTCACACATCTCTGGGACTTACGCAGAGGTAAAAGCATTGAAAAGGAAACCTCTTCCCGTATTAAGTCAGGCTGAAACTTGAGAGGAGAGTAGCATCAAAAGCATGAGTTTGTTGGGGCACGACCAGGTGTAAAAGGGATGTTGGAAGAGCCATGAATTTTTATATAGCAAGGTGATTTCAAAGTGCTGATTCAGGGAGTGCTGTCCTGCAGCAACCTCATGAGGGCAAGGTTAAAAAGAACTGGAGACGGTTTCAAACTAATTTAGTAGCATATATTTACATTGTATTTTCACTTCTGCCTGGGAGGCCGTGAAGGTCTATGAAGAGCAGAGCTGGTCTGATGATGCTTAGCTTGCGGGGACACACGTAGGGCAAAGGAAGCATTTCATCAGCCATCCTTCTGCAGGTGGAGAGGTTGCTATTGGAAATAGATGAGTTTTCTAAACTGCTGTGGTTTTTCAACAGATAATTTCTCAGCTTTACTGTAGCCACCTCACTGGACGTGTTATGCAGAGATCAGTAGCTGTTCATACTGTCTTGGAAGAGCCAAACAAGCCTCCTCATGCTGGGAGCCTCACCCAAACTCTCTCTCATCCTATTTGCCTCTTGCTTATAGACCATTTCCTCTAAGATGTGACCTATGGGACAGTCACGAAGCTGGGGGACCCAGTGGTGCCTGTCCCAAGCAGGACGCTGGCCTTGAGTTTCAGCCTGGGGAAGGTATGGCCATGAGGCAGCAGTGCATGTGGAGGCTGGGAGGGAAAAGAGATGCCCGATATAATTTTGCCAAGCGATGCAGCCAAGGGCAGGCTTTCTTTCCTGTGACATGTAAGGATGTGTCTTGAATGACTTTATTTCAATTGTCATTAGGGGATTTTGCAGCCTGATTGAGCACCGCAGTTAAACTCTCCCTTGATGAAACCTCGTGAGTCTAATTTTAATCTTGTAGGCAACATGGTGTTCGGCCTAAACTGATTATGTTTTGGGACTCCTCTGGGTTGTCGTGAGGGGGAGGGAGGCTGGTTGTCTTTTGCTTAATATGAGGCAGCGTTTTTTTACAAAGTGTGTATCTCAGTTACTCTTGAAATGCCTCAGGTTTGATATCCCATTCCCACCCACCTTCCCCCAAGGGGCAAAGACACCCCGGAGACCTTTGCCGTCCCACCGGCAGGCCAGGCGTAG